CCCGAAGAAGTGGAGAAAATTTATTCACAACATCCAGCGATTAAACAGGTACTTGAGATAGTTTACGAAATTTGACATGTTTCTTGAGATAAATTCTGCAGCAATCTCAGAAGAATTCGATTCCATTGATTTGAAGAGAATTGTATGCTCAAGCATCACGACAAGTTGGTGAATACTATGCTCTAATTGTAAGCAAAATGATTTTTTGAAAGATGCATACTTGATAACTTCAAACACGATGTGTGAAAGTAGATTTGGAATCGACGATCACTAAGATTTCTACTACTTTTCAGATTTTCGTTTATGGTTCCTCAATTCATTCTTATCTGGTGGCGATTATCGTGGTTGATGTCGCACTTCTACGCAAATATCACACTGCGACACCAGTGCAGCAGGTACCATCTAAGGAATGTTCGATATTCAGAAGAAGCTCTAAAATATGACTGCGCTAATAGATTCAATTCATGATCGCATCAACTTTCAGGTGAAAGAATCCGCCGAACCAATATGTTTACTGGATGATCGAAGCGTTCGAGAGCGCTTCTTGCTGGATCTACGTGAATTCGGTGCCAATCGAGGACTGACGGGCATCGAACAAATTCGAAATGCTCATCTTACTGAAGAAGAGTTCACTGCTGATTCGGGCCTTCTAACACCAACGCTTAAAGTGAAACGTTCGTTGTTAATTAGTCGATATGCGAAAATATTCGAAAAACTTTACGCGGAAGAACTCTATTGAAAGTTGTTTGCTGTTTATTGATAGTTGAATAAAGCTTTTACGCCACTTTGTGTTGATTTCTTTTATGGTTTTGGGTTGGCGTTACTAGTGAACGTATGGAATTGTTTGTTGCTGTGAATGAACGAAATGGTTACTAACAAACAAGAATAGAAAATTTCGTAATGATACGACCATCTCCCTAGAAACCATTCGAACGATTGATTCAATGCTGAAGCTAATCCATCACCTGTCTCTGAAAGATCGCAATCGCTTAGCATTTCAGCGCCTGTATTATTTGACGCAGTGAAATGAATGATCACTGAACCGTGATTTGGTTACTTGTGTTCATTTGCGAATGTTCTTGGAATAGATTTTGCAACTCTTGGAGGGTATATCGAACGTTATGATATTTCTGATCAGTTTGTGCCATTCCTTTGAGTATCCGCTGAACGGTATTGGTATCATGATATGTGAATGGTCATACATACGCATGATTATAGCAAAATTACAGTGATGGTCGATACTGCATGTGAAGCATAGATGGGCATCATTTCGGCTGAGTGATAACCATTCGAGTTTCAGTCCATCGTTGCTTTTATGCGGAAGATTTCGAAGAATTTGTCTTAAAATGTGTTCGCAATGTGGTTGTTGCTCACACTGTTTCATGCAAACGCGATATTTGCACGCGATTGGCCGACCTCAGACGTTCTTTTCGTAGTTGATAGTACATCAAATGTTGGTGCTTTCAACTTTGAGCTCGTCAAAAAATTCATGCGATCTGTCGTCGCAAATATGCATATAAGCAGTACGGGCACACGAGTTGGTTTGGCCGAATACACGCCAAAAGCGAATTTTTTATTCACGCTGATTTCTGGGATCAATAAGGATGAACTTGATCGACGCATCAACGTGAGTGCTCTACACTGTGAAATGTTATTCGTCATTGGGATTATCATTTGAAGTCTCAGAATGAGCATGACTCTTCTGGAGATATGATTTTCTAACATTTCAGTTATTGAAAGTGCCCAGTTCTGCATTTGTTTGATGCTGAAATGAAAAAAGATCAAACAAAGAAGAATTTTATAAGTTGATAGAAATCCTCGTGCTTTCAGACAATCTCATATTCGCCATGCGAGCAAAATTGCTATCCTCTTGCGACGATTAACAGTCTCGCTAAGGCTGGCCTAAGCATAGCCTCAGGAAATCGACCACTTGTTCCGGATGTTATGATTATAATCTCATCCAGTTCGTACGAATTACCCGAATTGGTGCGTTGTTGTTGTTGCATGCCTTCTCTCTCACCTACGTGTTTTTCTTGACTGGATTGGATTCCGATGATACCTTATCAGAGCCCAAAGAGATTCTTAAAGATTTGTGGAAACGTTTGATTAGCAGGTGTTCATTTGAATAACTCTGAGCAATAACATAACTCATCTGAAATTGGATCATTTGCTGATTCGTTTTACAGGGTATTCGAGAAACCCTAATGAAACCGATATCACCAATATTCGTGTTTTCAATTAATGTGGGCGCACTAGATGCAGTCACGTCATCCACTGACTCTTATGCATCTTCGGCTACAACAATTAGATTCTCA